CCATGTGCAGAAGTGTTTGATGGACTGTGTAAGCTGGTCTCCTTGTACACAAACCAAGCATTTCCTCCCCAAAGTATCATATTCAGAAATCCAAAGATCTATGAAAGAGAAAAATACATATGAAAATCTAATACTTAAAAATTCATTTCCATCCCAGTTTTCCTTTAAATATTTGGCATTTCCAGGTAGTATACTATTATTTAGGAGCTCTGGCGGCGTAGTGCCTAAAGCATTTGACTGCTAACCAGAAGGCTGGCGGTTCAAACCCATTAGCCACTCCTTGGAAGGAAGATGGGGCAATCTACTTCCCTAGAGATAATGCCTCAGAAAGCCAAGGAAGGGTCACTATGAGTTGAAATTGAGTCGACGGAAGTGAGTTTTTTTTTTTTTAAAACACTATTATTTAAGGAGTCCAGGTGATGCAGTGGCTAAGGCACTTGGCTGCTAATTGAAAGTTAGCAGTTTGAACCCAAAACTGACAACCCACTCCATGGGACAAAGATGTGGCAGTTCTACCCTGTCATATAGTCACTATGAGTCGGCATCGACTCGATGGCAGCAGGTTGTTTACTATTAATTCATTTAAAGTTTAATACTACATACAAAGTGGAATAAAAAAGGAAGACTTTATTTTAATGTATTAAATCTGGATGACTTATTTCTAATGCAATAAAGCCACATCTGTAACTCTGCAACCTCTCAAATGACTAAAAGAATTTTATTTTTGCATGTCACTTATTACCAAAGAGATGGAATAAATTTGAGAAAACCACCAGAACCTTCCGTTTAGTACTCTGCATTTAGACTGATGCTTCAGGGTGCAGAGGGGCAGTAGGAGTCCATTTTCCTTCTTTTGGGGACTTGCATGTTCTCTCATTCTGAATGGCTATAAACTACTCTTGTTTACCTTTTCTTATTTCTCTCCTTTCCCTCTACTACTGTCTTCCCTACTTCTACAGTTGCAGCCAGAAGAGAAGTCACAGAACTTTAGTTCACATCTGCATTAGTCAACCTAAAAGATATTACTCTTCCCAGTTATAAAGTATGAAGTATTACGAAGTAAGAGTGGGGTTAAGAAGCTTGTGAGAGCACTACCATAATACTGAAGGCCATATGCTTTCCATCTTTTTGTATGTGCATACCAAAAACATTTCTCAAACCGTACATTTCATATCACTGTCAACATAACTAAAAAAATGCTTTTAAATTACAGATTTAAAAAACAAAAATTTGGGTGAATTGCTTTACAAGGCAGTGATGACTTCATCTACTGAAAAAATATTTTCTTGTAAAGACAGCAGAGCTTTCTAAGCATAATATACTCAGTAATAATGATGGCCTGTGCTCTATCCTTGAAGTACAAATTTAATTATACAGTTTATTTTGGTAAACTGGAAGAATAAAGAGTATTTAACACTTTATATACATTAAATATTATAGATTATTTATGAAACCATAATAGTATTACTTTCAAATATACGGAACATTGAGAGACAAGGATTTATAAAGTCAGATCTAGATTCAAACCTTGGCTTGCCACTTATTAGTTAATGTCACCTTGGGTAAATTAACTTCTGAGCTATATTTCTTCCCCAGTTGTAAAATGAAGAGGATAATACCACCTTCCACATTACCCTTAAGATTGCTGAATGACAATGCTTGGTGCACAGCCTTAATAAATGTTAGTTGAGTATCATTAGTGCCTTCAGGTAAAAGTCCTATACCTAGTCCATTTTAATTAAAGTAAGATTCAATCATGATCTTGTTCAAAACTGTTTACAAGTAATGATTTACTTAACAAACTTTTCATAATGTTATAAAGGTGTCAGTTGTTGCTGACAGGTGCCACTGAGTTGGTTCTGACTCATTGCGGCCCAATGTCAAACTGAACAACACTGCCTCGTCTTGTGCCATCCTCACAATCGTTGGTATGTATGATCCCATTACTGCAGCCACTGTGTCACTCCATCTCACTGCTACTTGACCAAGCATGATATCCTTCTCCAGGGACAGGTCCCTCGTAACAACATGTCCAAAGTACGTGAGATGAAGTCTTATCATCCTCGCTTCTAAGGAAGAATTCTGGCTGTACTTCTTCCCAGACAGATTTGTTCATTCTTTTGGCAATCCATGATATTTTCAGTTTACTTTGCCAACATCATGATTCAAAGGCATCAATCCTTCTTCAGTCTTCCTTACTCACTGTCCAGCTTTCGCATGCATGTGAAGTGACTGAAAATACCACGGTTTGGGTCAGGTACATCTTAATTCTCAAAGTGACATCTTTCCTTTTTAAGATTTTCAAGAAGTCTTTTGCAGATGTGCCCAATGCAACACATCATTTGATTTCTTAACTGGTGCTCCCATGAACATTATTAAAGGTAAACACTATATAGTTAGGATTGTGATAGCTCTGAGTAAAAATAAAAACCAGCATATTTATCCAGAGAGTTATTAAAAACAAAAACCTAGTGCTTTCTTAAACTACTAGTCATGTTTTTAAGTGAAATAATTTTTTTTTAAAGAAATAATGCATACATACCACAGAGACATTTAGGGATCCCATACTGGTGACAGAGTCAAAATAACAGGTCACTCCTGGATGCTTACTGCAAGGCTCAAGTTCTTGAATAATTTTGGGACTGGTAGCTACTTTAATATCTGTAAGAGCTTTAGCCCACGCTGAAGTGCTCACCAACCACAAAAAAGTGGCAACAAGAGTAATAATAAAGTCCTAAAGCAAAAATAATTATGAGTTAATAATGAACAGTCAACTTAAAAATACTAAGTGAAGGAATTTAGATTATGTTTAATTTTATGGTACTGGGAAAAAAAAAAAGTCAGTCAATTTAGTAAATGTTGCTATTTACTGTTACTAGCACAGTGCATAGATTCAACAGGAAACCAGACTCAATCATCCATCCCTCATGAGTCTGAGAGTATATACTAACTCTATGGGGTAGGTAGTTCTACTCTGTCCTACAGGGTCACTGTGAGTCAGAATCATAGTCTTACCTCAGCCACTTACTCCTAGGATCATACCTTAGACCCTGTCATCACCAATAACGACACCTGTCCATAATCTCTATTTCAATCATTCCACTTTCTAATCATAACCTCCTGGCACCCCAATCCCAAAAACCTTTTGATTCCACCAGATCTATAATCTGATTGTACTACCTTTTTTCACTCTCAAGTTCATGTGTGTCCTCATTTTCCTCCTTAACCAGTTTATATTCCAAGATCTTCATCATAAACCCTGCATACACTCAACTCCCTGTCTTTCTGCTTCCTCATACCGTCCTGGCAAAACTAATTTTATTAAATCTTTCTCAGTGAGAAAGAGAGAGAGAATAAGATGGCAAAAAGCACACAACCAGGATGACTTGTCTCTTAAAATTCCTGACACAGGAACAACGTGCACTCTAAACTGTTTTGATACTTTGAGCAGGTGGGTACACTCCAAGGCTAAGACTTCGTATGCTTCTACAGCAAAAAACTGAAATGCTCCTAGAACCACGTCAGCTCAGAATTGAGAATACTGCTAAAAAACCATGTCATCTTTTTACAAAGAATACTTAAAAAAATAAATGCAATAATTGATAATACTTTAAAATTTGAATATCTGAAAAATTTTTTTTTAACATTTCTATGATTAAAATCAAAGCAGAATTTAAAATTTAATTTCAAAGCTGGACTTTTTACAGATAAGAAAACATCCATTAAATTTCAACAAAAAGTCACTCAAGAAACTAATTCTGAATTCTCTCTCTGTATGACCACTAAACTGATACATCGATGTGCTACTTTTGACTTTCTAAATGATGCTACTAGAACAATTTTATAAGACAGAAAAATCCTCTACAAAAGTAGATCTGAATGCTGCTTTAAGAAGCATGTTATTTTTAAGTTTACCAGACAAAATGTAAGAAATACAGAGCTCATGGCTAGATTCAATATATAAATTTTTTTTGGGGAATAATGACAACAAGAAATATGTGTTCACTTATAACTTAAATCATTAAAAAATATTAATATAAATATCTTTATGATCATCCTAGTTCCCTTTAAAAAAAAAAAGCTTTTCTAAAGAAGTCTGCAGAAGTTATGGATTCCTAATATATAATTCCTGTGGAATAAGCATTGCAAATTAAAATAACTGTTGCCTTATCTTTTTGAAAGCTCCTAACAACCAAGAAATATTTTATGATAACATCTGGTTTAAGAATCTCTTCTGAGACATAAGAAATGGAACAAATCTGAATGAAGAAAGGCTGCTGTATTTTATACTTACCATTTGCATGCTTATGATCCAGGCAGCAAAAATTAAAAATAAATAAATAAAGCTTGTTATCTTATTTAGCAATTCTTTCATACCTGAGTAGTCTTTAAAGTTCCACTTAAAGTAACTGCACAGAGATTTAGCAGATGTTAATGTTTTCTCATAAAGGTAAATGACCATTATCACAAAATACCTCTGTTCTCCCTTCAAATCAACAACACTAAAACTGAGTTTGCAGTTATTCTTTTGTAGTGGGAGTCCAGCTTAAAACAATGGCTTATCTTTGAATTTGCCATCAACAATCCAGAGCAAATTCTACTAACTAAATCTCATAGATTATTATTTTTTATTTCTGGCTCAATAGACTTAAAGCCAAGCATGGTACCAGGATTTCATACCCAAATCTTTTTGCTGGCACGTCAAAGATTTAAAATTAGCTCATGGATGCTACTACTGCTGAATATAAGAATGATCTGGGTCAGATTTTAAATTAAGGGGTTTGAGAATACAATACATAGATCAGGAGTCAGAATATTTTTTCTGTACAGGGTCAGAAAAGGCCAAATATTATTTATTTATCTCTGTCACAACTACTTAACTCTGCCACTGTAGCATGAAAGCAGCTGTAGACAATACGTAAATGACTGGGTCTGGCTGTGTTCCAAAACATTTTATTTTAGAAAAGGAGACAGTGAGTCAGATTTGGTCTGTTGGTCATAGTTTGTTGACTGCTGAAGTTCAATAAGACATTATAAAAGTATAAAGGAGGTCTTCTGAGGAACAAGATAAAGAAAAAGTAGGAACACGATTATGAATTAACTAGGTTGGTCAGCAGTTCTTTAAACCAAAGCCATTAGTTAATCTAACTAAAGAAAATCTACCTAATTTCTCTGCTACTTTCAACCTAATACAGTACATTACATACTTACGAGTTTTCTTCTAGGTTAAAATAGAGCTAAAAACGAACGAACCTTTCTTTGAGTATGGAAAGTGCTATAAGCAAATACACTAAAATAATTAGGTTGAACACGACGAAAGGAAAAAGCTTAATCCTTTTTTTTTTTTGTTTCTGAAATTAAAAAAAAATTTTTTATTGTGATTTGGGTGAATGTTTATAGAACAAATTCATTTTCCCTACAGCAATTCACCTATACTTTGTCTCATGACATTGACTGCAGGTTCCCATAGTGCAACAGCTCTCTTCCCACTTCCTCCCCTTGGTTACCTCTTCGCTGTGTCCTTCCCTTCTATGCACTACTGTCCCCCAAGCTGTCCCCGTGCATACACAGCCCTTCTATTCTGAAAGGAGAAAGCTTAATCTTACGGCAAACATAGGTCAAATACGTCAAACTGGTTTATGCCCCAATTTTGTATTTCCTGTATTAAAAAATTATATTTAAATTCAACTATAACTTATACTTAACTTAAATTATTTTTGTATAAAAATAGGATGCTCTTACTTACAATCATGGGAAGTTTTCGACTATCTCGATACAGGTTCGTGTAACCAACGTAAAGCAGAAGAGCAGCTATGCAGTACAGGAAGACAAAGACTGCAAAGGTGACATAGAATTGTGCAGAGGAAGAGTAATCGCCGATCAGAACATATTCATTCCACTTGATATCACATACATTTACTTCTGGAACTGCCTGAAAAGATGCCTGATTCAACCTATTGAAAAAAAAGAAAAAAGCTCAAATAAATGCATACTAGACTCTCTCAACAGAAGAGAAATTCTAAAATATTAAACAGAAATACATAAACAGACTATTGAAATGGCATTTAAAAAATATGCTGCAGATATATTCAAAACATTTTCATTTTGGGAAAAAAAAAATAAAACATTGAAGTACACTGAAATTTTAATAATAAATGTGTGTAATTTAAGGCGCTCTGATGGAGCAGTGGGTAAGGCATGTGGCTGCTAACCAGAAGGCCAGTGGTTCAAACCCACCAGTTGCTCCACAGGAGGAAGATGGGACAATCTACTTCCATAAAGAGTTACAGCTTTAGAAACCCTACAGGGGTCACTAAGAGTCAGAATTGACTCTATGACAGTGGGTTTTTAGTTTGGGTACAAATATTACACTTGGCAATTTGGTTTATGATAGATTGAGTACAGACTTAAAGACTTTCGAACTCAGACACCATTTTCCTGCAAAGATACCTTAGCAGATTAAGAGGTTTTATACTAACTAGTTTACAATTTGAGACAAGATACTCTATTCTAGGAGGCAGAGTTCTGTGACTGGCACTAGGAGAGTCAATTATAATAATGATTCATGTTTTAACCCTAGATCAGTCGCTAAGTTCACACTGTCTTTAATTTTCCCCATCCCTAAATGTCAAAGTCCTTATCATAAAGATGCCGGTAGCACAGGGAGAAGGGCTGGGAGAGGAAGAGGCACTGACGACCATGCGCTTGCTACCAGATGTTATCTTTTACATAAGATTTTATTTAATCATCAAAACACCCTTAACAGGTACGATTTCCAATTTTGTATAGAAAAAAAAAAAAAAAAAAAATGGGTCTTAGAGCAGGGAAATAAGTAGAGTTAAGGAAGTGGAAGAATATTCATATCCTGGTTAGAACACAGGACATATTCCATAAACTTTTTAATGTATACTGAAGTCAAACAGAAGAAAAATTTCACAACAAAATATTCATTTTATTTGGAGAGTATATTTGGAGGTTTTATGCTAATAAAAGAAATATAGGAACTCCTGACTTTATTTACCAAACCAAAACACCAAACTCCCTACTGCTGAGTTGGATCCAACTCATTCATAGTGACCCCTCGTTGGGTTTCCAAGGGGGTATCTCTACGGAAGTAGATTGCTCAATCCTCCTTCTGAAGAGTGACTAGTGGGTTTGAACTGCCAGTCTTCTGGTTAGCAGTCAAATGCCTTAGGCTCTATGTCACCAGAGCTCCTTTACATAAGTACATCTTAGAACTATACATAAGATGAGGGAGAAGTCTATGTTTTATTTTTTAATTTCCAATCCATTGTGAGCTGACACAATAAAAATGCCAAGGTAATGTCAAAGTACTCTAACACTTTCTAAATGCTTACTCTCACTTTCAGTACTTTATTATCATAGGCCAAGCAGTTTGAAGAAGACACTGGCCTGTGTGCCACAGTATGAGTAGCATGGATCACTTATAGATGAACCCAGTAGTACAGAGTAGAAACACCCCATCAGGTTTCCAAGTCTGCAAAGATTTACAGAAGCAGACTGCCACATCTTTCTCCTGTACAGCTGGAGCTGGCAGGTTTAAACTACTGAACTTTCAGTTAGCAGCCAAGCACTCAACCACATGCAACTGAGTATTTTTTTGTGCCCCAAGATCAACACATTGCTGAGGTTTCCAATGAGTCAACATGAAAGTAAAAAGAGTTGTTAAACCATAAAAA